TTTTGTTTTGTAGCTATTATGAATAGGATGCTGTCCTGATTTTTTTTTCTCAAATTCAGTATTAGTACATAGAGAAACTAGTACTTTTGTATGTTGGTTTTATATTCTGGTACTTTTGTATCCTGGTACTGAATTCATTTATCACCTCCAATAACCTTTGTTGGAGTCTTTGAGTTTTTCATGTATAGAATCATATCATCTGCAAACAGGCACAATTGAACTTCCTACTTCATATACCTTGTATTTCTTTCTCTTATCCAATAAGAGTGTAAATTTTATATCATCAGACAAATTAGGTTCAAAGCCACTTCCATCCCCTCAGCTCTTCTTTATCAACCATGTGATTTGAGCATTCTTTTCTCCTTGAGTCGTCTCTGTCTTTGATATCAGATTGAGGACTAAGATGGCTCAGTTGACAGAGTATTTGCAATACAAGCATGGACCTGAATATGGTTCCCAAAATACATTTTACAAGCTAGAAACAGAGACAGGTGAATCCCTAAGACTCACTGGTAAGCCAATCTGGCCTAGATCAGTGAGAGATGCTATCTCAAAGAATGTAAAAGAGAGGGACAGAAGGGCAGAGGAGAGAGAAGGAGACAGAGAGAGAGAGAGACAGAGACAGAGACCAAAAGGTAGATAACACCTGGCAATCAACATGGTTGTTGTTGGTTTTTTTTGGGGGGGGGCGTTTTTTGTTTTTGTTTTTTTGTTTTGTTTTGTTTTGTTTTGTTTTTTACTTTTTGTGAACCAGCCACCCAGCTCCCAAATAAATACATGAAGATTTATTCTTACTTATGAATGCCCAGCCTTAGCTTGGCTTATTTCTAGCCAGATTTTCTAACTTAATTACCCCCTCTCTCTTTAACTACATTTTGCTTCTGGGAGTTTTTACCTTTCTTTATTCTGTATATATTTCTTTTATTTTTACTCCACGGCTGACTGTAAGGCTGGGTAACTGTCCTCTGGCATCTTCTTCTCCTTTTCCTCCTTCTCTTGCTCCTTGCTCAGCTCTCGATCCTATGTTTCTCCTCTTATTTATTCTCTCTTCCTTCTAGCCCTGCCTATTTTTTCTTTCCTGCTTAGCTACTGGCAATTCGGCTCTTTATTAAATCAATCAAGTGTTTTAGGTAGCCAAAGTGACATAGCTTCACAGAGTTAAACAAATGCAACATAAAAGAATACAACACATTTTTGTATCATTAAACAAATATTCCACAGCCTAAACGAATATAACACATCTTAAACTAATATTCCACACACATGGTAGTTGTCCTTGGCTTCCATACACAGTTACACGTGTGCACACATGCTGTATTAATTTCATTTATGTCACTGTGACAAAATAACTTGACAAAAAGCAACTTAAAAGAGAAAAATTTATCTTGGCCCACAGTTCTAGAGGCATGGAGTCCATCACAGTGAGTATGGCATTGTGGCAAGGTCAGGGAACCGGATGGTAATATTAGATCCACACTCATCAGAGGAAACAGGAAGTATAAATCCTCAAAGCCCAGTGACATACTTCCTCCATCAAGGCCCCTCCTCCTAAAGGCTCCATAACCTTCCCAGAGAGCATCACCAGCTGGGGACCAGGTGTTCCAACACATGAGTCTGTGTGGGATGTTTATCATCCAAATGACCACACATATGCACCCATAAACACATACATCAAAATTTACATACTTTTTCTTAAATCAGATTTAATAATACTTATGCCACAGGATATTCTCAAGATAAAAAGGAGGAAAAGAAAAGGCCAAGTTGTGTGACACACTTAGGCACAATGCCTCTCTCACACTAGGTGCTCGGTAAAGGGGAAGCTGCTATTATGCTAGGCTGAGTAAATATGAATGCTTCTGCCTATGCAGTTCTGTCTGTGCTGGGTTTTTTCTACATGGGATTCTTCCTACCCCTGACTCTCCTCATTCTAATTTTAAATGCCTGAAGCTGTGCCCCCATTCCTCATGGCTGGTCTAGGTCTAAGCACTCACACATCACCTCTGTCTTCACATATTGTTGGCTCCTTTCCCAGCTAAGCAGATACCATAAGCAGTTGTTGTCCATATATCTGTGCAAAAGCTGCTCTGGAATGCTAGCTTCAGAAGGAAAGACAAACTGAAATGGGCATCTCATGCGCTACCTTCTCATCTAACCTTGCTGGAAACAAGCCCCTATGGTTTAAGGGCTGCACCTGATTAACAGTTTGTTATTGTATCCTAAGACCACTGATACTCTGAGATTCCTATAGTGGATATTAATGACCACAGCTTGCCTTGTGTGCTGGATAACCTGAGTTCCCCAAGTGCAGAAACCAAAGCTTTCTGCCTCTGCTTCTGCTTCTGCTTTTCTGTATCCAGTGCAGCCCAATCAATGGTAAGAGTCTATTTGAGTTTAACAAAGTCTCCTCGAGAGTTGAAAGCTAAGACTTTAAAATATACTCAGGGGCCTACAGATAGTTCAGTTGGTAAAGGCAAATGCCATAATGCCTCACAAACTGAATTGGAGCCCCAGAACCTACATAACAGAAGGAGAGAACCAACTCTTGTGAGTTGTTTTCTGACTTCAACACCCATGCCATAGCATGTGCACACATATACAATCACATACACACACTTCCAAAAAAGTAATAAAGCATTGTTTTATAGAAGGTGCATAGGTCAAGTATGGTGGCACACACTTATAATCCAGTACTCAGGAGGCTGGAGAGTTTGAGGACAGCCTGGGCTACACATAAAAAGAAAAACAGGGACATGAGTTTGCTTCTTCCATCTACCCCTTACTGCCGTGTCTCTTGCTTCTGATAACAGCGAGTGTCTCTTGTCTTCTACATCTCCTTTCCAATAACACACCCTTCCAATCTCTGAGATCTTTCCTGTTCAAACATTCTGAGCTTCCATTTCACCCCAATTCTAAATTTAAAGGGATTTATTAAATGTTAGAATGTTAAATAAATGCCATAAGAAAAGAAAGAAGGGGAAATCCAACTGTAAGTGACAAATAGGAAGCCCTCACATGTTTAGAGTATGGAAGGATGAATGAATGGATGGGTGGATGGATGGATAAATGGACATACAGATGATAGATAGCTGATGAGTTAATGAATGATGGGAGAGATGGATAAATAGATGGATGATGGATAGATGAGTGAGATGAGTGAGTTGATGCTGGAGATAATTGAACTGACTATACCTCTGAGTGCCCCACTTTGGAGATTTGAGTTGCCTTTGAGACAGTGGCTCCTTAAGTCCTTGGCTGGAGAATTCCATCCCTGCCTCTCTGGCTCCTGAACTTGCATATGGACTCCACATATGTCAAGCACTAAGCCAGCAAAGTGTGAGGCTAAGATACCAAAGAAGCATTTGGCTTTCAGCCCACTGAATCACTCATTTTGGTCCCTTCTGAGCTTCATTCCCAATCAACCCTGGGAGGAAAGCTCCATGGTGGGAACCTGTCTGAGAAACAGATTCCAAGAGGAGCCGATGGCCAAGGGGAGAACTCGGGAGCCAGAGAAGCTGTCAGGAGATGGAGACCATGGGCCAGAGAAGATGTTAGGCATCGAGGACTCTACAAGAGGCCATCCCAGTCTCTTGCTCTGACTCGCATTAGTCATTTTATAGTGAGATCCTATGGGGCCTGTTTCCTTCTTTCAAATGATGCACCATTCTATTTGTTTGCATGCAATACTTCTGCAAAAAGAAAAAATAAGACATGAAAGTAGGAGAGGGCTATTAGTGGTAGCAAAGATGCTGCAGGAAAAATACAAGTTCAGCATCATCCTTACCAATTGCTGCCAATCACACTTGGAACAGGAGCAGTTCTCAAGAAGGAAGCACTCAGATGGGTGTTTGAGGATTCCATTGTACTGAGATCTCAGCAAGAAAGCCAGTGCATCCAGCTCCAAAAGTGACTGGGGCTTAATTTGAGTTCCCAGTATTTGCCAGGCAACAAGGGCCAGAGCATCCAAAGCAAGAACCAACTTCCTCCATCCAAGTCAAGTGTTCCCCAACCCATAAACCCATTTCTCTCCCTTGTTGTAGCAATCTGGGTGTTTGTTTGCAGAGCTTTTTCGAGAATTAAGTGTGTGTGACAGTATGGAAAACATTTTAAGAAATGTCACTTCCTTTTCTTCCTTGAAGCTACATGCACAGTCTTGACATGTCACTAGCAAGAACATCAAAAGTATGACTGGGATTTGGGGACTGGAGGCTTTTTCTACCCAACTATTCATAGTCTGTTCACTTGCAGGTGAGTTTCCCAGAACCCATACTAACACATACTCCTTGTGTAAGCTCCAAAGGAGAAGTGGGGGGGCTACCTTCAGAAATGCCACCACCAATACAAGAAAAACAAAACCCAACATCCAGCGTTGGTGAGATGGCTCAGTAGGTAAAGGTACTTACTGCTAAGCTAACAACCCAAGTTCGAGACCAGAGTTCTACATAAGAGAAGGAAAGAATTTACCTCTAAAAGTTGTTCTCTGACCTCCACATCTTCATTCATATGCTTGTACATGAACACACGCATACACAGAGAGACTCAGACACATATACATGTATGCGTGCATGCACGCATGCATGCATGCACACATAGAGAAAGAGAGAGACTAAACAGATATAATTAGAAACGTTTTCATTTTTACTTCTTTATTTTTATTTGATATGTACAGGTATTTCACCTCATGTATGCAGTGCCTGTGGAGGCTAGCAGAGGATGTCAGATCCCATGGAACTGGAGTTTTTAAACAATATCTAGCCCTAGTCCCCATCATGGGACTCATAAGACCTGAGATTATAAGACCAAATGTCACCTTCTATGGGCCTTGAGGGACAGGCTGCAATTAAATTATAGGAAAATCCGATAAAATGCTTTGAAACATTTTATGAAACTATCGATATTTCCACCAGAATGAAGCACATGGGAGGCAGTGGACAGGGGTGGAGTGAGCATGGGAAAACCATTTGCTTTCATTCATCCCTGCTAGTGACTGATCAAGACTAATGAGGGCTCAGAAGCAGCACCCCAAAAGAAAATACAGTGTGGCCTCATTTTTATGGCACCCTCAGGGAAAGAGTGATATCGTGAGTGTGTACATGGATGTGTGTGTATGAGTGTGTGTGTGTGTGTGTGTGTGTGTGTGTGTGTGCGCGTGCGCATGCGCACGCACGCACTGGAGCACATACATGGGTATTGGGTGTATGCATGGGTGAATGGGTGGTGCATGGGTATGGGGGGGGATGTGCATGGGTGTGTGTGTTGTGTGAGTGTGTACACACATGTGGGTGTACTCATGTGTGTATGCACACACATGAGTGTGGGTGTATGCATGTGTGTATGTGATATATATATATATATATATATATATATATATATATATATATAATTTCTTGAAGGTTGGCACCAAAAGTCAGACTTGGGGTCATTAACTGTGGGAAAGTGATGCCCTTTGAGGAGCCTAACACTGATGATCTGCCTTGGGAAACAGAAATGCATCCAAATTCTATCTACAGTGCTACTACATTTCAAGGATCCCAAGTTTACAGTACCTCTCCAGCAAAATTAAAACTTTCCTTTTCTTAAGTCTTATTTTGTTTTCATGTGTGTTTGTGTGTGCATGGTTGGCTGTGTGCAGTGCTGGTAGAAGCTAGACAAGGGCATCAGATTGCCCTAAAGCTGGAGTCACAGGTGAGCTGCAATGTGGTTGCTGGGAAGTGAACCCAGGTCCTCTGGAAGAACAGCAAGTGCTCTTAACCACTGAGTCATCTCTCCAGCCCCTAAAAGACTTCCTACTGAAATATTTCTTTTTATGGAATATTCCTTAGCTACATCTGCCCAGTGTCTTGGGACAGCTTTTCCAGGTGTGAATGGAAATAAAATGGCCTCTCTGTAACTCTGCCTTAGGTGAGAGCAGCCTGAACAAAGCTTCAGCAGGATCTACCCTGGCCGAATAAGTCTCTTGTTTCCCAGCAAGACCTCAAACTACACAGCTATGAATGAACTTGAACTTCTCTTGTTACACTTATTTATTTACAATGTGGAGGAGTAAAGTGGGTGTGTCAATACACATCTTTAATCCCAGCACTCAGGAAGCAGAGACAAGCGGATCTCTAAAGTTTGAGGCCAGCATGATCCACAGAGTGAGTTCCAGGACAACTAAGACTATGCAGAGAAATCCTGTCTAAAACAAAACAAAGAAATATCAAATAAATATAACAAAATGATAACAGGAAGATTAAAAACAGGGGACTGGAGAGAGGTGGCTCAGCAGGTAAATGTACTTGCCATCAAGCCTGATTACCTGTGCCCCTGTGCCCACAAGTTATCTTCTGACCATCACATGTATGTTGCACACACAAAAGAAAAAATCAGAGAAAGGAAGGAAGGAAGGAAGGAAGGAAGGAAGGAAGGAAGGAAGGAAGGAAGGAAGGGAGGGAGGGAGGAAGGAAGGAAGGAAGGAAGGAAGGGGAAGGAAGGAGGAAGAAATAAGAGATTTAATTTAAATTAAAAAGGAAACAGATCTATTATATTAGTCTTTGAAATTCTCTTTTAACTTTTTTTTATTTTGTTTTGTTTGTTTGTTGTGTTAAGGCAAGGCTGTGCTCTGCAGTCCTGACCCGGTATCTGCTATGTAACCCAGGCTGGCCTCAAATTAAGACAGCACCGCTGCCTCAACCTCCTGTGCTAGAATTACAGGCATGAGCCACCACGCCCAGCTAAAATTCCTTAAAAATAAAACATTTCTTCTGAAGTTCATATTTGAGTATACCTAGCTGAAGATAGAGAGGGGCGGTTGTTGGTCCCCTGATGCACATAAGGAGAGGCAGCCACACTCAGCCTCCTCCAGGATAGGTTTTGGGGCCCATGAACCATAAGCACCAGAGTCCTCCTAAAGTTAGCACCCAGAGCCTAACCCCACCCCAATGCTGTCTCGGGGCTACAGGACTACAGAGTCAACATCTTCCTGAGGCAGCAGTGGAATGACCCCCGTCTGGCCTACAATGAGTACCCTGACGACTCCCTGGACCTTGACCCGTCCATGTTGGATTCCATCTGGAAGCCTGACTTGTTCTTTGCCAATGAGAAGGGGGCCCACTTCCATGAAATCACCACTGACAATAAACTGCTGAGAATCTCCCGGAATGGCAATGTCCTCTACAGCATCAGGTGAGTTCCGGAGCCAACAACAAAGTCAGGAGTCCTAGGAATGCGTTTCATCACAAGCACAGAGACAGGGTGAGAAAGGCTGGTGAGGGAAGGTGGAGTTTAAGTTACCCTGTGTAATGGACAATTGTAATAGACCATGAAAACAGAATTATCGTACGTGATCAGTAGCAAATGAAGAGGAACAAAGCTTGCCAAGACACAGCAGCTTGGCAGTAAATGGGACCACTGGGTAAATGGCACAGTCTGCAAGGATGAGCCAGGGTGGCTGCTTCCCCACTTTGATTCCCACTTGCCTTGTGTTAAGTCTTGGGAGACAGGACCCCTCCTGTCTCCCTATAGACATAAGTTAGATGCTAAGCTCTCAGAGTGTCCTGTGACACCAGTTCCCTAAGACAGACAGACAGACAGACACACACACACACACACACACACACACACACACACACACACACACATCTCCTTCCCCGGGGCACAGGAACAATGGACAATGCAAGTGGTGAAATGGGCTTCACACTCACAGCATCAGCAACGTAGAGAGTAGATGACACTGAACACTTTTCATGTATTATATCCTTATATAACTCATGAGCTAGGTTTGATGATCCCTGTTATAAACATCAAAAAAGTGTGGGTGTGGAAATTTAGGAAACTTTCCCAATTTTCAGGAAGAGTACTTTCATGTCAGAAAGTAGGTTCTGATGGGGTACTTGTGTGGGTCCCATGCCCTCTAGAGACTCAAAGAGCCACAGCTCTCCACTTGGGTCCCAGGACTTCTGGAGAATCAGAGTGGGCACTGGCCATCACTTTACATGATAATGGGCGGATGTGTTCTGACTTAAAGGAGCTTCAGAGTGCTAAGTGACCGACCATCCCTCCCACCTTCAGTTCTCAGTGGGAGAGAAGTCTGATCTCCCATTCAGAAAGGAGCCTTAAATATCTGGGATGGGACAGGATGGAAAGGGGAAAGGCTGGGCTGATCCTGACCCTCAGAAGGGACTGGACTCAGTCCCCCCACAGGCTGTGGAGAAGGGATGTGAGATCCTCACCACTGAAGGGCACAGAAGCTCTGCTGACTGAGCTTGCCCTACCAGCCACATCTAGATGAAGGATGACATGGGTCCCAGAGTCAGCCACCAAGGCCCTGGTGGGCTGCTGGAGGGAGGGTCACCTCTGCCTGAATTCACTGCTGCCAGGACAGTTTCATGTCTCTGGGAAGCAGAGTCCCAGTGCAACCTGACAGAAGGACAGGTCAGCAGAAAGTGATGGTCCCAAGGTCGTTCAACATCTGGAAATTAACCCAGCTTGACAGCTGCCCCACTTTGGAGCTTTTATCTTCAGAAATGGGCCTTGCTCGTTCTCTCTTCGCTCCTCCGGCCCCTTCTCTGCCTCCCTTCTCCTCCCTCTCCCTCCTCATCCCCCTCCTGCTTGTATGATGTCGTTAGAGAGGAGAACACACACACACCTGTGGTATGAGCTGGAAGGGAAGTTCACAATGGGCCAGGTGCACAGCTGAGGTGACAGTAGCTATCTTCTGTGAAGACATTTCCAACTGGGTACCTCAAAGAAGTGGGGCTGGCCTTGGGAGCATGCAAGCCAATCACAGAGCCTGCTCCACCAAAACTCAGCTACTAGCCTGGGCTGGTACAGGGGGCTCCCTCTGACTCTGGGGCTGCAGACTTTATAAAGGTTGAAGGCTCCAAAATAAGATCCATAGCTTCCACCTGTTCCTGACTGAGCTCACAGATGTGCCTGCCAGCTGTGTGGGAGGCAGGGTCTGAACTCACTAATGGCAGGCCCCATGTGTGAATGGAAGCAGCCAAGAGACATGAGCAGCACTTTCTGCTGAAACATGGGAGTTCCTGAGGCTGGGGCTCGATGAAAAACTTGGAATCTTCCCTAGGGAAGAGCTGGAATAGGAGCAGCACCTGGCACCCAGCAGGCTGCTATAAAACTGTCTCTAGCATCCAAGAAAGTTCCAGAGAAATCCAAAAGTCCCTCTGAGTGATGGCTTTGGGCCACCTCCTTTCTATCACCGAGCCTCCTCTGCCATCCTGGGAGCTTGGAAATGTGCACACACTTATTCTATAAGTGCTGGTCCCCTGGTCTCCAGTCCCCACCTGAAACAATGATTTCAACTGGCAAAAGCATGCAGGCACACACTCCAGGAATGTGGTCTCAGATCAACCCAGTCCCTTCTCTTCTCAGAATCACCCTGACACTGGCGTGCCCAATGGACCTGAAGAATTTCCCAATGGATGTACAGACATGTATCATGCAACTGGAAAGCTGTGAGTCCCTTACCCAAATGGGTTTGCTTGTTTATTTGTTTATTTTTGTTTTGTTTTGCTTTTTGTTTTTTTGTTTGTTTGTTTGTTTGTTTTTAAGCCAGGCTTCTATTACCCATTGTCAGGCAGAAATTCCCTAAACCCTGGACCCCAGAAGAGTACTTTCATAACTCAAAGTGCCAAGTTGGGGAGGGGGTTCCTTTAAGGATATGCATTAGAAATATAACTTCCCCAGCTCTGTCTCACTGGGGCACAGACTTTGTCCTCAGCTGCATCCTCCCAGGGGGAAGCACGGTGCTAAGTCTCTTGTGAATGTGCCTGCTAGGAATAAAGAGACAGCCTAGAGAAATCATGGTCTGAGGATGCTCAATTCAGCAAGGGAGGTAGGCAACTGACTGCACAAATCAGTAGCAAAGGGAAATTAGTGGAGTGTATTGTTGGAAGCAGGAAACTGGGCCTGGGGAAAGCTTCAGCTAGTCAAGTGCCTGCCACACAAGCATCAGAAGCCAAGTTTGAAAGATCACCCCCCATGTAAAAGCCAGTCACGGCCAGGGGTGCAGAGATGGGCAGATCTCTGGAACTCACTGGCAGGCCAACCTGACTGAATCAACAAGTCCCATGTTCACTGAGAGATTGTGTCTCAAAAAATAAGGTGGTTGCTGAAGAGATGGCTCTGTGGTTAAGAGCACTGGCTGTTCTTTCAGAGGACGTGGAATCCTAGCATAGAACACACATTGCTCTTGCAATGTTTCCAGCTCCCACATTGGTCATCTCACAACCACCTGAAAATCAAGCTCCAGGAAAATCTACCACCTCTGGCCTCTGAGGCCATCTGCACACATGACACTTGCACACACACACACATACACACAGTTTTTGTTGTTGTTTTGGTTCGGTTTTTGGTTTTGGGCTTTTTTTTGGGGGGGTGGGGTTTTTCGGGGTTTTGTTTTTTTTTTTTTTTTTTTTTTTTTTTTTTTTTTTTGTTTTTTTTTTTTTTTTTTTTGGTTTTTCAAGACAGGGTTTCTCTGTGGTTTTGGAGGCTGTCCTGGAACTTGCTCTTGTAGACCGGGTTGGTCTCAAACTCACAGAGATCCACCTGCCTCTGCCTCCCTAGTGCTGGGACTAAAGGTGTGTGCTACCACCGCCTGGCACACACACAGTTTTAAAATAACAATAGTTTCTAAAAATAAATGATATAGAGAGCAATTGAGGAAGACATCCATCATCAGCTCTGACCTACACACACATATTCTCATAACCACATGAACACATATACATGTTACACCACAAACACACAGGGTAAGAAATAGCTAGGTAGTGTACACCACAGGAGACTGAGGCAGAAGGATGTGAATTTGAAGACAGACTAGTACATAGTGAGTGTGAGGCTAGCCTGGGCTACATGAGACCATGTCTCAAGAAAATAAGAGTTGGTCTTGAAGCAGAAATCAGATTGCTATGATTGGGCCACCATTTCCCACCAATGTTTCTCATCAAGATCACCCATGGTAGATTCACTCCCCAGAGGAAAGCCTGTAGGGAACAAAAGGGGAAGCTTTGGGGGAGAGGCATGTGTAAGAAGTGCTGGTGTCAATCACCCTGCGTCATGGGGTGAGGGGCAGAGTCCCAGGACAAATCCAGGTGGGAGAGCTGGGGAAGGAATTTCAACAATTTACCAAGTTCACCTCCTTTATAAGGAGGGTAGAGAAGAAAACACAATGGGTCCCCTGACCTCCACCATGATCAGGGCTGAGACCTTGCTGATGGGTTCTTCTTCCAATCCCTCCCAGTTGGATACACCATGAATGACCTCATCTTTGAGTGGCAGGAACAGGGAGCTGTGCAGGTGGCAGACGGACTGACCCTGCCTCAGTTTATCCTGAAGGAGGAGAAGGACCTGAGATACTGCACCAAGCACTACAACACAGGTGGGTGCAAGTGGCTGTCTAGGACCCCAGTCCCTTCAGACACCATTCAGCTGCAGAACTGCATGGTCTGTGTTTGTTACCCAGTGATTAATAGAATAGGTTTGGAACAAAGAAAATTTAAAAAGTGCCATTGAGATGTTCTTTCTGAAAGTCCTGGGGATGTTAACCTAAGCTTCAGCCACACCTAATTACAAGGGAAGCCAGTAATATTCTTTATTCTGGGGGGGGGTGTCCTGCTTCTGAGGCAAGGAGTGGGAGTTGGTAGGTGGAGGGTGGGCTATGCCACTCAGAAACTTGTGTTTCCAATTGTGCAGAAGTAAAGTGCTTGCTGTGGACCCAAGCAAGAGGGAGCTGGGAGGCTGTGGTTCTAATTGATAATTAGTAACCATTAGAAATTGGCCCATTTCTCTGGGAGCCATGGTGGGTGGAGAAGGGGGAGCCCAGATGCTTAGTCAGCTCTCTGTCATCCGTGACTAGTCTAGCCTTTGCTAGGAGAGGCTGAATTCGGGGAGGAACTGGGGTTAGACCATAAACCCATTTATGTCCCATCTCAGATGGGGAGCCAGCTCATATGAGCACTGGTGGGAGGGGCAAGAGGGCTGGCATGCTGGTAAGAAGCTGTGGTGACCCCAGTTAAGCATGGGTGAGGTGTGTCTGCTATAGGAGGATGACTGGTCCAGGAAGGAAGGAGAAGGTGGAGGGCAGAAGCCATTGAAAGTGGAAGTCCCTGGGAGAGATAGGGAACCTGGGCTCTGGTCTGCCTGGGACAATTACAGCTTTCTGTGTCACCACACAGAAGTCTCTGAATGTCTGAAGACCTACTTCACCCCTGAGCATGCTGACTCTGACATAACAGTACTCCCAGTGGGCACCACAAGCAACCACCTGACCATGGGTCACAATCTCACAGCACAGCCTCCCAAGCCACAGCCTTTACCAGCATGCAGCATTTCCCTTTTTATTCCACTCTTCCCAGGGGTATAGTTGACTAATAAAATCTAATAGAGTATACATTGAAGATGTGCACCTTGATGCGTATTGCTATCTATTATAAAATAAACACCCTGGTCAAGGTAATGAATATATGTATCATCTCATGCATATGAATGTACACACACATACACCTAGGATTTACCCTAGGACTGTGTATATGGATCGGGACCAGGTTCACAGTACTATATCTCCAAAGTTTAGTAATCTTGCATGACTGAATCTTTGCACTCTTTGACCCACATCTCACTTAAACTCCACCAATCTACCTTCTGCTGCTGTGAGTTTGATTGCCACAGGCTACATATATAAATGAAATGGAAAAGCACTTGTCTTTGTGTCTGTTTCACTTCACTTGGTAGGAAAGGGCCTGCCAGTTCCATTCATGGATTTGAAAATGGCAAGATATCTCTCTCTCTCCCTCCCTCCCTCCCTCCTTTCCTCACTGCCTCCCCTTCCCCCTCCCCCCTTCTCTTTCTGTCTCTGTGTATACATATAGAAATATGTTACCATGCTTGCACACATAGAGGCCAGAGGTGGATGTCAGGTACTTTCCCCTATCACTGTCCACTTTATCTTTAAAGCTGAGACTAACAGTTGGGGTAGACTGGCTAGCCACAAAGCTCCAGGGATCCACCTGCCTCCTCCTCCTCGGCTCTGGGATTATAGCTGCTCATCCCAGCAAGTACTTCACCCAATAAGCCATCTCCTCTTCCCAACTTAATTATTTTTTAAGGCTAATACCCTATTATTTTCTCTTCTTGTCCATTGAAAACTGCATCCTGATGCAGCAATCCATTTCTATACAACTGTCTAGAAAACAAAGATTTCAGAGACACGTTTGCTCTCCTGTGTCTGCAGCAGCATTAATGACAGCAGCCAAGAGGTGCAAAGTGTTTGATGTGCAGGGAACCTTCCCTGTCATTACTTCCTCCACTCTTCACCTTTACAGTCCTGAGCCAGGCCCTTTGGGGACAGAGAGACAGAGCCATGATCTCTGGGACAGGTGTGGTCCCAGTTCCAGTGATACAAAAGTGAAAAGAGATTTCTTTAAAAAAAAAAAAAAACTGGCCCAGTGCAGTGCCAAAGAGAGAAAGAGAGAGACTGACTCACTCTCTCACTCACCTGTGACTTAAAGGCTCGGGGTATCCCGTGAGCAGAGCTGAGAACACACTAAGGAAAGGGGCTTTCTGCCAGCTTGTGAATAAGCTGCCCTGCAAGAGAAAATGCATTTCCTGGATTGTGGGAAGGAAGAGGAGACTTCTAGCTAAGATGCTGATGAGATCAAAGCTCAAAAGGATGAAGAGATGGGCATGCTCAGACAAGGACAGGGGACAAAGAGAAACCACTAAGATGATGAAAGAGCAAGTTATGAGAAAGACGAGTCAGAGGTCAACTTGGCAGGACAGTCTAGAGAGTTGGAACTTTTTCCTGTAGAGAATAGGAAATGCTTCGTATAAAGAAGGAACAAACAAAGGGATTCTTAAGCAGAGCTGGGGTTGATTCAGTCATTTTTAAAGCCAAGAGTTAAGAGAAAGGGAAATGCTCAGGAAGAAGGATGTCCAAGAGTGTGGGTGTGGACATCTCAAATAAGAGTCATCAAACAAAAGGTTTACAAGAAGTGATAGAGTCAAGTCACATCTGGGGACACCAGAGCAGAAGGGTCTGGAAACTCATACTTTTTCTTAGCAAACAAATGGTGGTGGTGGCAGTGGTGGTGGTGGTGATGATGAAAGTGGCAATGATGGTGAAGATCATTAAAATGATGGTGATGGTGGTGCTGATGAAGATGATAATAATGCTGAGGTCAATGATGGTGGCAATGATGATAATGGTAATGATATTTAAATGATAATGGTGATAGAAATGGTAGTGATAATGAAGTTAGTCATGGTGATAATTATGATGATGATAATGGCCATGATGGCAAACGATGCTGTGGAGTCTTTACACTGTGTGAGGACTGACAGTTCTTCATATGCACCATCTCATTTCACCCCACAAAATCCATAGGAGCTACTATATGAGGGCTGGCAAGAGGACTCAAAGGGAAAAGGTGCTTGCCACCAAACCTGACAAACATAGGTTGATCCTCAAAACCCATTCTCACAAACTGTTCTCTGACCTCCACACAAAGGTATGACATGCCCACTTGTATACACACACACACACACACACACACACACACACACACACACACTGCATTCTTTTTTTAATTACATTTATTTATTCATTTGGGTGTGTGTGTGTGTGTGTGTGTGTGTGTGTGTGTGTGTGTGTGTGTGTGTGTGTTTATCTCTGTCATCCTTCAGTATTCCCAGAAGGTTGTCTCCGGGCCACCCTCAGTTACCTGGATGCAAAGATGCCAAAGATTGTCAGGTCCTCTTGATAGAGTGGGGGCAGTGTTTGTATGTGACATACACACATCCTTCTGCATGCATTATCATCTCAGGATGACTGACAATACCTAACTCAGTGTAAATGCTGTGTAGACAGATATTCACCTGTTGTCTGGGTGGGGGGTGATGACAGGAACAAAGCCTGTATGTGTTCAGGGAAGATGAACTTCTGAACATTTCTATTTGCACTTGGCTAAAAACCATGGGTGTAGAACCAATGCACATGGAGGATCAACTGTGTTACCCCATTTGCCCTAGGTGAAGAAACTGAGGCACAGAACAATTGGGGAACTTGACTATGAGCACAGATAGCATGGGGCTGGACCAGGACTCCACTCAAGCTGACCCTAATACCATTGCTACTCTCTAGCATGTTCCATGGCTCCTTTGCTATCATTCCTTGCAGGTAAATTCACCTGCATTGAAGCTCGATTTCACCTGGAGCGACAGATGGGCTACTACCTGATCCAGATGTACATTCCCAGCCTGCTCATTGTCATCCTGTCCTGGATCTCTTTCTGGATCAACATGGATGCTGCACCAGCTCGCGTGGGACTGGGCATCACCACTGTGCTCACCATGACCACACAGAGCTCTGGTTCCCGAGCCTCACTACCCAAGGTGAGTAACACCATTGGGGAGTATTGAACCCCAGAATAGAGAAGAATCCAGCATACTTCATCCCTGCCTGAGACATGGGGAGCATAGTGTGTCACCATGAGTATACATTCTGCACGTAGCACTGTTTCCAGAAGTTGCTGTCGGGACCAGAGTTTCTAGGTTCTTGGCATCTTATTCAAAGAATTGGATGGTCAGGGAAGATGCATACAGTTTTCAAATTATCAAGAAAACTTTATTCATAAGCAAATCAATATTATAAATCAGGCACCCTGCCAAAGAGAGTAGCAGTAGTCTGCCTGAGTGACAGAGGACTCGGGGTCTAGTTACTGTTTGGAACTTCCTTTTATAGAGACTGAAGGAAGGAGGGACTGATGGCTAAAGGTATGATCTGAGTGGTTCTGTATTGTGACTGACAGATTTGAGTTATGTAAACTTTATTGTGCATGTTCCTTCCCATGATGCGTCTGACTTTAATTATATGCACATCCAATTATGCATAGGTATAGAACAGTAAATAAGGGTCAGGGTGTGGTGGCACATGCCTTTAATCCCAGCACTTGGCAAGCAGAGGCAGATAGATCTCTGAGTCAAGCCAACCTGCTCTACATAGTGAGTTCCCAGCTAAGCAGGACTATATATAGTGAGCCCCTGTCTCAAAAAAGGAACAACAACAAAAAATGGTAAACAGAGAATTCTTCCTGACACAGTATGTCTTACTGCTCATGCTTCCAAAACCAATTACAGACTGGATCAGCCCCCTCTTTGCTGTACCCTGATACATCCAGGAAGATATTTGAATAGAAACTATCCACAAAAAGGAAGTTCTTCATGCCCATTATCCATGCCCACAGTGGGCATACAGCATGATGCAGGTGGGGACCCTGGGATGCTAGATGCATTGTTATGTGGAATCCCAGGTTGCTAAACTATTCCATGTTTGCCTGATTTAGCCTCCCACCAGACTTCACACAGACTGCTTAAGTCACCTGTAACACTAGACATAATATTCTCTTCCCTACACTGCTGCCCCTCCACAACCCTTAGTGAGGAATAACACTACCACCATGCCCCTACCCCTTGACACCTCCTGTGAAGGTGCTACTCCCCACTGCTGTCAATTGCTGCTTTGTCCTGCTCTGCTTTTCACTAACACCAGGCCCAGCATCTGCATTCACTTTAACTGTCCAAGGCACTTCCCACTCTGTCCACTAGCACCAGACACAGCATTGTATTCTGCTGTTCATGCCAGGCCCATGCTGGTGAATAACATAGTACTGTTTCCAGTCAGGACCACATATTACCTCTGATTTAACACAGGAACACTGAAAGAGTATCCAAGACACACTCTATGACCTTTACCTACATTCACCAGTTATTAGTACTTAGCCACATTTGTTTTGTTTATCTATATAAAGAGATAGATGGATAGATAGATAGATACAGAGATATAGAGATACAGAGATAGAGACACATAGCATAGATGTTATACATAGATAAGACAGAGATATTAGCAGACATAAATGTACACATACATACATATACATACATACACTCCTAGCTAACATTAACTGTCAACTTAATACAACCTAGTTATCTAAAGGAGTCTCAAATGAGGGATTACACAGATCATATTGGCCTGTGGGCACATCTTAATTATTATTGATGTAGGAAAGCCCAGTTCATTGTAGGCACTACCATCCCTATGTAGGTGTTCCTGAGTTATATAAGAAACCTAGTTGAGCACAAGTGAGCAGAGAGCAAGCCATCAAGCATGATTCTTCCATGATTTCTGAATCAATAACCTCTCTGAGTTCCCACCCTGATTTCCCTCAATAATGAAATGTGACCTGGAAGTGTCAGCCAAATAAAAAAAAAAATCCTCCCCCCACCACCTCCGTAGCTTCAGGTCAGAGCATTTGTCATAGCAACAAAAAAGAAACAAGAACAAATACACAGATGATAGATATAGATAGATAGATAGATAGATAGATAGATAGATAGATAGATAGATAGATAGATAGATAGATGAGTAAACAGTTGGGAAAAGTTATAGAAGACCAATGATATATAGGTAGATGATAGATTATTAATAGATTGATGGATGATTAATAAATAGAGGATAGGCATAGGGTAGGTAACTGATCAAATATTCTACCTCTTTTTGTCTTTTCTGAGACTCTGGTCATCATGTGTTAGTGGCTTTGGTGGTTTCCCATGAGTTTCTATGGCTCTGCTCTTCTCCCCTCATTCTGCCCCTCAGACTCATGATCTCAAGGTTGCTGATTCTTCTCCAAGTTCTCTGGTGCTTTCTTCTACTCTGCACATTCATCGTTGTCTCCCCTAGTGAAGTTCTCATCTTAATTACTTACCTTCAACTTCAGAGTTTTCATTTGACTCTCTTATAATTTCTACCTTTTTATTAACATGTTCTGTTTGGCGAGAGAATGTTCTCAGTTTTCCCTTTAGTTTTTGTTTGTTTGTTTGTTTTCATGTTGTTTTGTTTTACTGGAGATAGAGCCCCCTCTGTAGCCCAGGCTGGCCTTGAATACATGGGTAATTCTCCACCCTCAGCCTTCTCAGTTCTGGAACTACAGGTGTGTGCCATTATGCTCAGGTTCCTGTGCACAGTTTCTTTCAATTGCTTGAATGTATTTAAGATAACTAATTTAATGTCTTTTCTACCTGGTATGATAGTGGCACGCACACCCTTAGGAGGCAGAGACAGAAGCATCAGTTCTAAGTCATCCTTAGCTATACATCAAATTCAAGGCCAGCTATATGATATCTTATCTTTAAAAATAACAAAATAAATGGACTAGAGAGATGGCTTAAAGATTAAAAACTCCCACTACTCTTACAGAGGACTGAGTTCAATTCCCAGCTCCCACAACACAACCTCCTATAAATCCAGAGGATCCAATGCCTCTAGCCTCTTGTGCACATACCCATACACAGTCATACTGCATCCACATAACTAAAAGTAAAATAAAATAATTAAGTCCCTGTTAAGTCTGAGATCTGGTTTCCTCAGGTCCCACTTCTTTGCCCCACCCTGTTTTCCTGTAACCAGATCATATTTTCTGGTGGGAGAGTTATTTTTTGTTTTGAGTTGTTTCTTTGTTTTGCACACCTTATAAATTGCTCATATTACATAACAGGGCAATTTTTGGAACTCAGGTTCTACCCCCTACAGACTTGTTGTTGATGTTTGTTCTTAACTTTGTCTGAACTAGTTCTGTGAACCCTGTATTCTCTGTGATGTCAACCATTGAAGTCTGGTTCACTTAGCCTGGTGGTCGCACAAAAACCACACAGATTTTGATGGAATGTCCAGATCTTATGGAATGCCCCATCTCTTCCTGAGAGAGTCTGTTAGAATCAGTATTAGCTAGGCAGGTTACTGCTTGGCTTCAGCCTTTACTTCCTGCTCAGGGGTCAAGAAGTCCTGGGTTGTCCTGGGATTAGCCTGTCATCTCATGTCACAGCTCATGTTTCCTGACTTTTCATTTAACATGGCGAAGGCTTGAACCTAGGCCCTTAAGCTTGCCAGGCAAGTGCCGGGCTACTGAGCTACATTCCTAGTCACCTCTTAAGTTTTTTGATTAACCTGCTGTTTTGCCTCAGTGCCTCTGATAGCAATTGCCACTAATTGTTTTCAACAAATGTCCCCCAGATTAAAAAGATACAAATGAAAACTTCCCACTGGGCCCACTCCAAATCAGGTCAAATAAAGGCAGTCTGTGTGTAGGAGTTCTAAGGGAACAGCTAGGGAGGCCAACGGAGGAGGGCAGGGCCCTGGGAACTGGCTTGAAGCGGCTCCCCTGCCCTCTCCAGTGGCTGCCTAGTGGTTGGTTATTGCTGGGCTTTTCTGGCTGCTGATTTTCTAAGCTACTGTGGTCTGGAGGGTTAGCATAGGAGCAGCGAAAGTTAAAGCTCCCAAAGCCCCAGGGGAAATGAATTCCTCCATACAGCCACTCTACATGGTGGATCACAGCATCGGTCTTTGTTTCACCAGAAAGTGGAAATGATTGATATCCACCATCCAATGAACAGACAAAAACATTGCTGTGTGTCCATACAATAAAATATTATTAAGCCATAAAAATAAACTGCTGGGGTTAGAGAGACAGCTCAGTAGTTAAGAGCGCTTGCTCTCTTGCTGAAAACTGCCATTGGGTTCCCAGCACCCACGTAAGACAGTATACAACCACCTGCAACTCCAGCTTTAGGAGGAAGTGATGCCTCTTTGGCCTCCACAGGCCCTGCACACATGTATATCTACACATACAAATGCATGCACATACACATAAATAAATATAAAATGACCTTTAAAAATAAATGACCTGCTGTTGTTGCTTGCTACGTACAGTAAGATGAACCTCAGAAATATTATGAGTGGGAGAAGTCAGTCATGGAAGGAGATAGGTTGTAATATTATTTCATAATAGAATTCTGGAATGTTCAGAATAGAAAAGCCACAGAATCATGAAGTAGATTAGTTGACCTTCAGGGTTAGGGAAGTAGAGAAGTGATAGATAGAAGATACCAGTTTTCAACAGTTTTTAAACAATGCCATGAACTTGCTATTCTTTTCAAAATCCAGCTGCTTTTGTTGTTGTTGTTGTTACCTTTTTGCTCATTTGGGACATGCATGTGTCTACGGAGGACAGAGGGGCACATGTAACAGGGTCTATGTGGAGGTCAGAGAACACGTTAGGGGAGTTATTTCTTTCCTTCTACCACATGTGTCCTGAGGTTTGAACTCAGGTCTTTAGGTTTATCAGCAGGTGCCCTTTCCCACTGAGCCATCTCTTGGCCATCAACTGTTTTTCTTGAATAAATTCTCTCAGGATTGCTATGTACCTTTGGTAGCTAATCAACAGAATTCTAGGTAACGTGACTGTAGCAGTTTCTGCCAGTGAGTGTGGTCAATGACTCTGCGAAGGGACAGTTCCCAAGGGTCCTAGTGATGCTAATTCTCAGTCCAGCACCCTCTCAAACCTAAATGTGATGTTCCACCTCACAAACGGAGGTGATGGAGGTGCACCATCCTCCTCTCATCCCTTCTCCCATAAGCATTATGTCTTCCCTGACAGTCTGCCCAGCTTGTTCAATGTGTTTTTTCTGTCTTCCTCTGCTCCTCTCATCCAAATATCCCATCTGAGGAGCAGTGGGAATTGGGGAAAGTTACTGAAGAACAGACAATATCACATCCACACTCAATACAACAATTGCTTAAAATAACAGTGGTACCAAACCCTATATGCCATAATCTTTTCTTATAGGTACCATAATTTTGTAGACAGATGTGTCTGCTGTAGAGCTGGATAGATGGCTCAGTGGTTAAGAGTGCTAGCTACTCTTGCAGAGGACCAAGTTCAGTTCCCATCATCACACTGGGCAGTTCACAACTATCTAACTCCAGCTCCAGAGGATCTGATGACCTCATCTGGTCTCTGCAGATACTACACTCACATGCAAATATACACAGAGACATATAATTTAAAAATAAATTTTTTTAAAAAAAATGTATTCTTAGCTTGGAGAGATGGATCAGCAGTTAAGAGCATTGGCTGCTTTTCTAGAGGACCCAGGTTCAATTTCCAACTCCCAATGGTAGCTCATAACTATCTGTAACTTTAGTTCCAAGGGATCCTGTGCCATCTGTGGACTCTTCAGGAGCTGCAAGCATGTGGTGCACACACACACACACACACACACACACACACACACACACACCACCAAATATCTACATGTAAAATAAAAAATAAGTATGTAAAATAAAAAATAAGCTTAAAATTTTCTTTAAATAAAAGTTTCTTGTTGATGTAGATCTTAACAATACCAGCAAAGGATATTTTTCTTTCTATATTAAATTGAGAACTTCACAGTTTTGCCTAGAAGAAACCTTTTGTAGCTTTTCTTGTCATGTCCAAATTCCCAACACTGTTTTTGCACTTTGAGCCACTATTAAGTAAATTGAGCTTTGGCCACAGTCAGTCTGATAATGCACATGGTTACTCCATGACTGGTAGAAGGGTAGCGTACACAGAATGGAAACGCCTGGAAGAGGATGGGTTCTGTCGTTAACAGAATGGAGTAGTATGATGCAAAGGTTGATCACACTGTTCAGAACAGCGTATGACTTAAAACTTACAAAGTGCTTATTTCTGGAATCTCCATTCACCTCCCCATGCTCTCTCCCACCCTCACTCCAGGTGTCATATGTGAAAGCTATTGACATTTGGATGGCTGTTTGTCTGCTCTTCGTGTTCTCGGCCCTGCTGGAATACGCGGCCGTGAACTTCGTGTCTCGGCAACACAAGGAGCTGCTGCGATTTAGGAGGAAGCGGCGACATCACAAGGTAGGCCTTTGGGACGTGTCCTAGGGAGGGGCAGCTGGTGGACAGAGCAGTCTGGTGGCACTTGCTTCATTGGGCTGTCCCCAGGGGTAAGGCAAGTGAGAGTATGAGATCAGATTCTGAAAAGCTTGATTATTCCTCTTGTGAATAATGACCTAGCTGCTTATAAGGAGCCTCTCTTTAACCACAGCAGCAGTGCTGTACGGAATTGTCATGTGACACCAGGAAGCAAGTGCCCATAGTCATGATGATAACCAGCTTCATCTTGCAGACAGGATGGGCTGGGGCAGGCCAGCTGCTTGTTTTCTGCAGTTTGACCTCAAGCTGGCCTGTCTCTGGGCTTAGTTTCTACAAAAACTGGCTTGGTGGGAGACTGTGCTGAGTATGAAGTCAAAGGTTCCAAGGAAGCTTTAAACTTTGTCCCTGTCACACCCACGTCAAGGAATAACAGTATTGTACACAGGCACACATAGCTCCCATGAGTATGGTATTTAAAGATTGGCAACATGATTCAATTAATTCTTAGCAATCTACCACAGGATGATCTTGGGGGTGGGGGTGGAGTGCAGACACCAAGGTCTTTCTATGTCTGTACTGCAAAAGATGTGGCAAGCTAGATGGAGCCTCCTAGAGGTTTAGCCCTTCCTACTGCCCTTTAGGCACCAGATCCCTCCTTTGAAATAGTAATCAGCTGTAGGCACTGTAATACACACTTGCAATTCTAACACCTAAGTGTGATGGGCAGAGGCAGGAGGATTAGGAGTTCAAGGTCACCCTGGGTCACAGCATGAGACTCTGTCTTTAAAAAACAAAACAACAACAGGGCTAGGGATGCAGCTCTGTTGGTAGAGTGCCCCCAGTTCCATGCCTCAAACTGCACAATCCAGACATGAGACCACATTTATAACCCCAGCACTTGGAGGTTGAGGTAAGAGAATCAGAAGTTCAAAGTCATCCTTTGCTATATCAAGTTCAAGGGAAGCTTGAGCTACATGAGACCTTTCCTGGGAGGAAAATAATCTAAAATAAAATGGGGTGCGGTGATTTCTGCTATAATCCCAGCACTCTGAAAGCTAAAGAAGGAAGATCAAAAATTTAAGGTTAAAAGCTAGGAAAGGTTAACGGAAGAAGGGAAACCCTATAGGCAGCTATGGGGAAGCCATCATCCAGACTGGGTGAAGAGTTCTCACTGTGGCTGCCTTAAAGTTCCCATGCTCCTGTGAATAACCCTTCACCCAGCTCTGTAAGCAAGCCCAATAAAATCATTGTTGAGGTGTTATAAGCATGTTTACCACCAGCCTGGTCCATTGCCGCATCAGCCCCAAATAACACACACTGAGACGCCGTATTAGACACAAAGCTGTTGGGCTGTTACTAGCAATACTTATTGTCTAGCTCTGTCTTAAATATCAACCCATTTCTATTAATCTAAGTATTTCCACGTGGTCTCATCTTACCGGAGAGAGGGCCCAGCGTTCTACTCTCTGTCCTCCATGTCGAATCTCCTCCTACCTCTTCCCGAAACCTCCTTCTCTCCTAGTCACACCTATCTTGCTTTCCTATTGGCCAACAGTGTTTTATTCATTAACCGATACAATAAACATATTTACAGAATGACATCTCCCATCATTGAGGTAGACATATCAAGGTTAGCCGTAGCTACAAAGAAAGAATGGAAGGGAAGAAAGGAGAGAGGGGAAAAATAGAAAGGAGGGGAAGAGATAAAGGGAGAGAGGGACTGGGCAGCTGGCTCAGTGGTTAAGAACACAGGTTGAGCTAGATGGTGGTGACACACACCTTTAATCGCAGCACTCAGGAGGCAGAAGCAGATGGATCTCGGTGAGTTCAAGGCCAGCCTGATCTACAGAGTGAGCTCCAGAACAGCCAGGAAATAGAGAAACCCTGTCTCAAAAACCAAAAATAAAAAAAAAAAAAAGGAGGGGGGAGAAGTGCAGGCTGTTCCTGCAGAGGACAGATTCAGTTCTGAGGATCCACATGTTAGTTTACAACCACTGATAACTCCAGGAGAGTCAATGCCTCCTTCTGACTTCAGAGGATACTAGGTACATACATACTTACAGGCATTCACACATACACATAAAATGATTCTTAATAATTTATTTATTTTTATTTTATGTGCATGACACCCTGTGTGAGGGTGTCAGATCTTGGAGTTACAGACAGTTGCTAGCTGTCATGTGGGTGCTGGGAATTAAATCTAGATCCTCTGGAAGAGCAGTCGGTGCTCTTAAGCAGATGAGTTATCTCTCCAACTCCTAAAATAAATATTTAAAAAAAAATAAATAAAATTATACAGAAAGCCACTTGAGCCATGAACTTCTGACATCACCTGAAACACTTGCCTCCTTAAGCCAAACTGTGTACCCATCCCCCACGTATCTCAACAGAGTTGCTCTTAAGTAAAGCACACCCTCTCCAGCTTACCACAGTCCCAGCTCACTTCATCACTCCCCCTGTCCACAGCAGAATTAACAACCTCATTCACAAGGGCTCTGCACTCATCCAAGCATCAGAAGTCAAGGTTGGTTACTTGGGCACACACTACAGAAGATCTCCTATTGGCATCTGGGTGTGGCTTGACTAGAGTCCTGCAGATGTAGGCTGCAGAAACCTCCCTTGAGTAAGAAGCCTCAGCAGGTTTTGGAGCTCTTGATGGTGAGTGGCAAGGAACTAGCTCTGGCCTGGATTTCTCTCAGCCAATGATCTGGGCCAGCTCCCACTGTTTTTCCATGTTTTCAAATGCTGCCTCATTTGCTGGGCAGAAAGCATCCAGTCTCCCAAGTCCCTGAACCCCCTAATTAGAAGGATCATTAGGAAGCATCTGTGGGGCCCAAACTCAGCAGGAGCTCAGATCCCTCCAGTGGGTTCCATAGTCTATGTCCCAATTTCTTTCTCCATCCCCAAGTGTTTCCAAGCAGATGAACATACTTGTTCTGTCACCTGCTGGTTATAATCGGAATAGCAAGCTTTTCCAGATACTTCCTTTCTCCAGGGACCACTATGTAGCTAGATGGGCCCAAACTTCTTTCCCTGCTGATGTGTAACTGATAAAGAAGGTGGCACATAACTTCCCAAGAAGGTCTAGGGAAGATAATGTGGTGTTTTCCATACCAATAGCCCATTACATACAGTGTGGATCCGTGTTGTGGTGGTGTTCCTATTTGTCTAGAGATGGTTAACTATGTACATGAGGTGCAACTCATTTACTGCAGGGTCATTCCAAGTTTTTTCTTTTATTTATTTGATTTTTGAGACAGTCTCTTATAGCCAGGCTGGCCTTGATCACGTGTGTGTGTGTGTGTGTGTGTGTGTGTGTGTGTGTGTAAGCACTCACAAGTGTCCATGTATATCTGTGCAGAAATATAAAGATCAGATAACTTGTAAGAACCTGTTCTCTCCTTCTATTGTATGGGTCCTGGGATTGAACTCAGGTTTTCAGGCTTAGCAGCAAACACTTTTACCCCCTGAGCCATTTTATCAGCCCATATCTGTTTTATTCTTTTTAAAATCTTTTTAAAGTTTATTTTTATTTTATGTCCATGAGTATGTGCCTGGTGACTGAGGAGACAAAAAAGAGCACTGAACTCTCTAGAACTGGAATTAGAGACAGTTGTGAGCCACTATATGGGTGCTGGGTACCAAACCCAGGTCCTCTGCAGGAACAGCCAGTATCCTTAAGGGCTGAGCCATCTCTCCAACTTCTTGGAGCTGCTCAGCCTTACATGCTTTAGCTGTGAGTTAGAGCTGCAGATGTGCAGTCATTTGTTCTCTGTGTCATACATTACCACTGCTTCAACACTGGTACTGTGTTGTGTGGTGTGGTGACAACAGCCATAAAAGGGGGGGACACAACCATTTCTATTCTCTGCCTCCTAACAGTAAGGGCAAGTTTGTGTTCAGATGTTACCAAGCCCAATTCCCTTGCCAGGTCCTGGGTCCAGGAATGTGCTGGCTTCCACCACTCCTCTTCTTGGCCTTGGTTTGAAGCCTCCACCACCCTCCAGTGTTTGCTTTGCACCTGTCTGCCCTCATTATATGACCCACATTCTTTCTTCCACAGTGGATGCTGGGCCAGATGCACTCCCTGATCATTTCCTGGTCATCAGCCATGTGTCTGATGCAGGATGCAACCCCACTTAGAAAAATCAAAGGAATGAAAAGAAGAAGGCTGGGTGGGCTGGAGAGCTGGCTCAGACAATAGGAGTGCTTGCTAATCTTGTAGAGGACCCCTGTCTGATTCTCAGCACCCACAATGGTAGCCCACAACTGTCTGGAACTCCAGGTCCAGAATACCCGACACTCTCTCCTGGCCTCTGAAGGCACTACATGCACTTGGAACACAAACATACACAGGGGAAAAACACCCATGCCCAAAACATAAATAAGTCTGAGAAAAAAAAATAAGGAGGCTGGAGCTGGAGAAGATTTTATTTATTGAAGTAATAAATTTGTTATTTTTTGTGCTTCTCTACCAAAAGAACATATCTGTATGTTCAGGGTTTGTTTCATGCTGGGTTTTGTGAGCTGGGCATTGCTGGTTTGGGGGATAGGGCCTCCTATACTTCAAGCTGACCTCCATCTGTGTGGCTCAGCTGGTCTTGAACTCTTGTTCTTCTTGCTTCTAACCTCCAAATCCTGGGGTGACAGGCTGCACTGCAGTTGCTTTCACAGAGCTTGCCCTCTAACCAGTGGTTCCCAGCCTCCCTCATGCCGCAACCCTTTCATACTCTCTCCTGTTGTGGGGACCCCCAACCGTAAAGTTATTCTCATTGCTACTTTATAACAGTAATTTTATACTGTTATAAATTATAATGTAAATATCTGTGTTTTCCAATGATCTTAGGCAACCAAAGAGGTCAGGACCCTCAAGTCACTCTAATGGGAGAGGCAATGTAAGCAAAGGAATTAGGACCCAGGGGGGTCAGAGCTTTTTCTCAGGGGCACTCTTAGGGAACTCTGCATGACAGCTAGCCTGTCTTTGGCAACTCTAGGGGAGGCTAAGTGGGACACCAGGGCTCCCGTTTTGGAAGCAGAGGCATAGCAGAGAGAATAACTTGAACTGAACTAAAGAGGAAAAGCCCAACACCCTCAAATGTGAGGAAATCTTGCAGGGTGATTGAAGAATAATGTTACACAGAAAATGGCATGAAGTGAGACAGAACAGGTGGACACACTCCAGGAAATCTGAGGTCTTCTTTAGAGCTGGAAGGCTTTAATGATCCTGAGGTTAGTGGCAGCCTGCTAGAAAATTCTTAGTAGAACAAGGCATAGTTACACACACCCATTATATCAGCATTTGGTATACTGAGTCAGGAGGATGGGATGGGGATGTCCAAGTCAGCCAGATGGTGGCCTGCCCTGGGGTGACAGAAGCACGGGAAGGGCAGGGTATTGGATCCTGTGTTGCATCTCTTATTCTCACTGGCACTGTCTTTCGGGGAATGAGCAGGACAGAATCCCTGTCCTGGAAGCTCTTGGTGTCCAGGAGGTGAACTGGTGAACCTTGCTGAATTAGAAGCTCAGCTGGCCTTGGCCTAGGGAGAAGCCGCTAAGGTGCATCCGGCTTAAGTGTGAGAATCAGAAGTGCCAGGCAGGTGGGATAACTGCCTGCTATCTCAGTCAAGGGAGGCAGGCACAGGGGACCCCTGGAGCAAGCTGGCCAGCCTGACTAGCTGAGCTGGTGAGTTCTGGGCTGCAACTGAGAGACCTTGTCTCAACAAATAAGAACAAGAATCCAGAATGATACCTGACATCCACTCACTGGCCTTCACATGTACACACGCGTGCACATGTGAGCACACACACACACACAGAAAACAAAACAAACACCTCGGCCTTTGGGCCTGTTGTGGAACTGCAAGTGAAGGGACCTAACCAGGGCAAGCTGGCACTGACTGGGAGTGGGATGAACCACTAGGATCAGTGGTCAAGCATTTTACAAAGGAGGAGAAGGCCAACAAAGCCAGCAGCAGTGGAGATCACATGGGAAGTGGGGTGGGGCTGGAAAGGTAAGTTGGAGCCAAATGACAAAGAACCTTTGACAAGCTTATGGAAAACGGAAGACTGTTAGAGGTGATGGTGTGGGGACATGAGGCAGGAAGAAACCATGGCTTCTCTGACTCATAACATGGGAAAGCCAAGAGCTTTCTGCTCCTTCCCCGGCCATCGTGGGGTGGGGAATATAAGAAGGACGCAACAGAGGCAAAGCAGGGGATGTCTCCAAACCACGCTCTGAAACTCTAACCAAAACCCAGGCCAACCTGGGGTCACCTATTCAGTGACGCCTCCAAAGGTTAAAAAGCCTTGAGAAGCAAACTTGAAATAATTCTCAGGCACTAAGAAGGAAGTTACCAGTCTGAGGTCACAGTTAGTAAATGACAAAGACCCACAACCTGGCATGGAGCTCAGGCCTCAGAATCTGTACCCATTCCCATCCCCTGGCTTGCATCTGTTTCAGCACGTGAGTGGCGCCCCTCTATGAGGCTGAACTCCCCAGCCAGCCAGGCTGCCTCCAGCAACTGGGGACACAAACCCTGAGAGACAGGGAGGATCAGATGGCATGGCCTGGCCCCCAAGGGGAGTGCCTTGCAGGGAGGGTGCCCAGCCCTTGTCTTATTTTAAGTAGAGCCCCATGCTGAATCTGTTTCAGGATGATGAGGGTGGAGAAGGCCGCTTCAACTTCTCTGCCTATGGGATGGGCCCAGCCTGTCTGCAGGCCAAGGACGGCATCTCTGTCAAGGGTGCCAACAACAACAACACCACCAACCCCGCTCCTGCACCATCCAAGTCCCCGGAGGAGATGCGGAAACTCTTCATCCAGAGAGCCAAGAAGATTGACAAGATATCACGCATCGGTTTCCCCATGGCCTTCCTAATCTTCAACATGTTCTACTGGATCATCTACAAGATTGTCCGGAGAGAGGATGTCCACAACAAGTGAAGGCTCAGGGGTGGGGTGGGGGGTCGGGAGAGGGTGGTGGGAGGAGCACAGAGGCTGGGAGCCAGGGGAGGAGGGAGAAAGAGAGAATGCACACACATCTCCCTCCATCAAGTGCAATAGAAACCACAGGGGTGGGTACTTCCAGGGTATGGCAATATTCATCTAGCCTTCGAGGGCAGGAGGTGGTGGGGGGCCTTTTCGAATTCAGCAACTGAGGACCATGAGGGGTGGGGTGGGGGTCAGGGAGGGGGATTGGGGAATCACAGCTTTCAAAATTCAAGTCCATTGGTTTGATTGGGGGTCTTCTGTTTGGAGGTCAGTGCCACCTGCCCAGAGCAGGAAAGCAGTGTAATATATGACATATAACCATGCTTACCATTAATGCAAAAACCTACGAGAGCAAAAGATGCGTCTCTTAAATCAGCCTAGTAACTGCTTAAACTTTTTAAAGTCCCCAGCGTGATGAACAACTTTTCCCAGAGTAGAAATGGTCACTAATAAGCTCGCTGTGGTATGTGCCCACATCACACCCTTACCAATGCCATGTCTATCTTCAAACTGACTCCCGTGGACACATGCCAAAAAGCCACTCCGCCTCTGCTTCAAGAGGGTCACATAACAGGGCATGGGTCATGGAGATGGATAAAGGTGGACCAACAACAGGAAGTGACTGAGGAGAATGACCGTTTTCAGAAGCCTCAGGATGGAGAATCCAGGAACCCCCACGTGGCACCAAGCTTGCTCCTCCTGCTTCTGCGCTTCAGGGCCAGCCCAGCTCAGTGCCAGCTCTACGGCAATCATGGTCTTCTCATTGTATTACCAATATGCAATCTTTTTTTATTACTTAAGAAAAGTAAAAATATATCAAGAAATAATATGAGGAGAGACTGAGTGTGAACCCATGAACTTTTTTTCCAAATGTCTATTTTTTTGGAGAGTCTCTTTGGAATTGCAAGTAGGTGCATTATGGGAAAGTGGGCCTGGCTGAAACAGGTCCCAAATGCCAGGCAGGAATCCAGTTTGAAGACATGAAAGGGAAGTTGCTGATGCTGCTGATGCTGCTGCTGCACATTCTGTTTGCAGGTGGGAAGAGACAGTGATATTTAGAAAGTCCACTCATTATATTTTGACATTTCATATATCATAACATGGAAAGTTTGGGGAAAATGACCCCATTATATTTTTATAAGTCTTTTTTTTTAAGATGCTTTGCACAGCTTTAACATGTAGGAAAGTTAGACAAATATTTCTCTTTTCTTCTAACTCTGAAGTGCCAGAATGATCCCAGACTTCCAGGGCACTCCGGGGAAAGCGACAGGGACTGTGATGAGTTGATCTGGAAGAGCAAGTCCTGCTGACAGATATGGACATGCACAGAACCATGGCATGAAGCCTGTCCCAGTCCTTCATCCCGTGGCTAGGACACACGGGTGGCACTTCTGTCCTACCACTCTACTGTCTTGGCCTTGGGTCAGAGTTAGAGGTAGGATGGGGATACATCACTGACAATCAGTTGGGAGCTTTGTTTGCATCCTTGTATGGAGCTAGGGAGCTCAGGGGCAGGATGGAGGAGTGGAACAAAGAGATGATACCTACCTGTCTCCTGCCGTGAACTTTTCCTGGGGAGTATTCCTCCCTTCCCTGTGGCATGCAAGCTAATGCCTAGAAGGGTCTAAAACAGATAAAGCCAAGACAAAGACCAAGAGCTCTGAGTAAAGAAGATATACTATGCAGCCAGCAAGAGGGAGTTGAACTGCCCGTAGTCTGCTAGGTCCAAGGCCAGCCAGCCTGTGCCTTCCCTCCTCTTGGACTGTGCAATCCAAAAAGACAATCCATGTTTCAGTTCTGGGTGAGGGGGCACAGGACCTTTGTTTACAGGAAATCCTGGGCAATGGGAGTCCCATGAGTGGGTGACTCTCATCTGACATTTGTCTTTTCACATCATAAAAGATGTTCAAAGCAGGAAAAAACAAAGATGGCCTTGAGTAGCCAGCATTCAGGATGAAGACGCCAGTGTGTGGAGCTATGAGCCCCTTCCTCGGCACAAGAGGAGGAGTCTTGTCCTCCAGAGCTATGCATCTTAGGAGAGGCTGCAATCAGTCTTTTCTAGTGGCACTTTATTCCCTTCATTTAGGTAACAAACATTTTTAACAGAAAATAATCAATGGGACTTGATTATTTTCTGTTGATTATTTTCCTTACTATACTTAGACTGACTCGAGTCTAGGTGAATGGGGTGACCACAAGAGGCATCAGAATCTGACCTGAGTCATACCTCTGGCTCACACAAAATCACCCAGCACCTTCCAAAATGGTCTCCACAGGAAGCATCTGGAATCACCCTGAGACAATCACCCTGAGAAATCAATGGACAGTTTGCCCAGTCTCAGATGAGCTCCCCATATCATCATTTTTGGAATGGTCCATTGTGAACTGCCTGGCCTAGGTGAAAGGTCCAGCAAGCAATGGACTCACATCTTTGTGACATACTGGGGAATGTTACTGAAGTCCTTCAAACCACAAGCAAAGAGACAACCTTAATCAAGCCCGCGGTTAATACACAGAACGCTCTTGTGTAACTGTGCAAGCTTTGGTCTCTCTGAATGCATCATGGAGAGACTGGGACAGTATCTGAACTCTCCCTGGCTCTACCTGCTGTGAATCTGTGCTTACACTGAGCAACTTTGCACAACTCAAAGCTTATCATTGTTTTGATTTCTCAGGGCTCTGTGCAAGCATGTAGACTTATGTACAGGTACACTGACCCATACAATTCCTGTTGCTTCTCCAGAAAATTTGCAAATTTGCTTTTCCTCTTGTACCACTTTTACTCAAAACTCAAAAAGAAAGGAAGAAATAAATAGGAAAGGGAGGAAGGAAGAGAGGGGAAGGCAAAGAGGGAGGGAGAGAAGGAGGAAGGGAGGGAGGAAGAAAGGAAGGAAGGAATTTGAACAAGATAATTTAATTCAAAGCTTTCAGGTGACTCCCAATGAATAGGGCAAGGCTTTCCTAATTTCCCCTTTAGGTTGAGCACAAAGGGCCCTATGCCCTGGGATTACAGGTATAAAATGGATGGTTCTGTATGGAAATCTGATGACCGTACCAAGAATGTCCTACTGGTTTTGAAGCTCTTCTTCAGTACAGACTGGTGTTCATGCATAGTGTGAGACTTGGAAAGATGCATGGAGGAGTAGATGACTTCAACTCACCTCCAAAGCTGCAGCTTATTCTAGGAGCTAGGTGGGGACACCAACTGCTTCTCATCCTGTTAGCTTCCAGAATCCCACTGGTTTCAGAACTAAGCAGCTCCACTCTGCCCTCTGCTGGAACTTTCTAGCACCTGCAAGACCCTTCCTGGAAAAGGCTCCAATGGGCAATGTGTGTGAGATACAGAGACAAAGGGACAGAGACAGAGAGAGATATATTTTTCTATTGACTCTAGAAAAAAAGAAGGAAGTTTCACCCCAATTATTCCCTTTTCTACATATCAATAAATAGAAAAGTAATCCCTTCAGAAGTGTACCAATATTTTCCATAGCTTTTTTTTTTCATACTCGGGAGAAAAATAAAGAAGACTGGTCCATTTCCTCCATCATGTGTACCTTTACAAGCATCATAAAAAGAAGTAATGTCTTGCGAGACATGATGTAAGTAAGACTGCAGGGAAGGTTGGCACTCCGGTCAAGGTAGTACTGCCGCTGACAATTGTCTTCTGTCTTACTTGATTGCAATGTGCTGAACCCAAAGGGGGTTGTCACAACCCTGGCAGTGACTGAATCCTTTGGAGAAGATGACAAGAAGAGTATATCCTCTTCGGGGCTCTGAAAGTCACAGCCCTTTCCCAGCCGGGCTGGAAGCCCAGTCCAGAACAATGACTGTCACGTTGGAAGCCATCAGTATGTTTCAGGAATATCTTCAGACCTTTCCACCCACTATCCACCCTTACTTCTGCCCAGGCAGGTGAGGCTGGGTTTCCTCAGGCTGTTTCTTAAACTGATAGGTAGCCAGTGAGTCTGAATGGGTGAATGACTTCTGCCCATTGACTCAACCAGAACAAAATGTCTCCACCCAAGCAGGCAGGAGGCACATTCTCGAAATAGAATATGGATTGTGTTTTTCTACTTTAGAAGTTTGAAGCGAGAGCTGCTTTCTTTTCCTCCAGTTCTAGGAAATCGTAACAAGAGGTCTATGACAAGAGAGGAGTCAACAATGTGCCTTGTTTTAATGGCTCCACCATGAGAACTCTGTGCAAGAAAAACACACATCCTGGAAAGGGTTTGGTCTACTATGCTCTGACATCCCAGTGACAGAGAAGACACCCTTGAGTGGGTCAAAGTCCCCAGAGAAATAAAGAACTCTCTGTTGGAAGAGTGCTTGCCCGGCATGTGGGTTGGTGAAAAGGAGAGACAGACAAAGGGATGAGGGATGGCAACGGTGTCGATTTTATTGGGGAGAAAAGCCTTCAGAGGAGGGGTCTACTATAGGAGGCTTGAGGACTTACATGGCAGAAAAAGGGAAGAGGCCTCACCCATCACCTTTTGGAAGCTCTCTGAACCTACCTTAGGTTTCCCTAAGCAGTGTAACTACAAAGCCTAGAGTTCCTTTAACATCCACTCAAGATAAAGTGCCCACAGCATACAGTGAGAGTCTGGGATCCAAAGATAACTAGCCCAAGACAAAGCCTGACAGAGAGTATCCAGGTCTGGTCCCTCAGAGACCAGGAAACTGAGTTCTGAGACTGGCTGATGTCCATTTACCTCTTCCCTGTCCATGTTTTTTAACCTTCAACAGATTATTTCACCTTCTGTGATCTTGAAGGAACCCTAACATTGTTAATGAGCATAAAATTGAGAAAATGAAACAATCAATGGTTTTGTTACTAAAAGTAGAATATAGAAGAGTTACTGCACTAAAATGAGTCTGACAGCTGAAAATCAAAAGTATGTATCTTTTTGTTTAAGATCATCCCAGTATATGAACGTTTAACATCCTAGTTTCTTCTCAAATGCTGGTAAATACCATCTTTAACTAGATTTAAGATCAGAGATCTTAATCAAAAGCCAATGTTCAGTGGTGGTGGCCTTTGATTCCAGCACTCAAGAGGCAGAGGCAGGCGGATCTCTGTGAGTTCAAGGCCAGCCTGGTCTATAAATCAAGTTCCAGGACAGCCAGGACTACACAAAGAAACCCTGTCTTGAAAAACAAACAAGCAAACAAAAAAAGCTAATGCTCTCTCTTCTTGTCTCAAAATGTAGTCATAAACAACATAAATTCACTAACTCATCTTCGAGATTAATGATCTGCTAATACAGCTTGCTACACAGGGTACTTTGCTGAGATGAAGCCACTGAGTGGCTACTGAAGTTTAAAGACAAATAGGAGTGAACTAGAGGGCAGATGAGAACCAGTGGTGTTTGGAGGATATGGACAACATCCCTTACTTGTGACCCCGTAGACAGGGGAAAATCCTTGTGCCGGGAAGGTTTAAACTTGGCTAGAGTGAAGAAGAGTTAGGACAAGACCTTTCCAAAGTCTAGAATTAGTTTAACATCCACTCAAGGTGAAGAACAATGAAAAGCACCAGAGCCAAAGATAAGCATCACTTCTAA